CATCATTACCTAGCCTCAAAACCTTACATTTATCATCATTAAACTGCATCTGCCAAATCTTGTGATCATTTCAGAACCCTATTTAGATCGTCTTGAAGTGACAGAGAGTCTTTTTCCGTGTTTATTTCACTGCCGATTTTTGTATCATCGGAACATTTGCAAATATTGCGACTCAAACCTGAATCTAAATCATTTATATATATTATGAATAACAGAGGTCTCAGGACAGATCTTTGAGGCACTCCACTTACAACATTTTCCCAGTCTGAATTAACCCCATTTATACTAACTCTTTGTTTCCTTTGGTATAGCCATGCCATTTCCATGTATAGCCATGTTTCCTTTGGTATAGCCGGGGGAGCCGGTCGGCCGAGCGGACAGCACGCTGGACTTGTGATCCTGTGGTCCTGGGTTCGATCCCAGGCACCGGCGAGAAACAATGGGCAGAGTTTCTTTCACCCTATGCCCCTGTTACCTAGCAGTAAAATAGGTACCTGGGTGTTAGTCAGCTGTTACGGGCTGCTTCCTGGGGGTGGAGGCCTGGTCGAGGACCGGGCCGCGGGGACACTAAAAAGCCCCGAAATCATCTCAAGATAACCTCAAGAAGATGCCCTAATCCAACTTAATATAGCACCTCCAATATCACGAGAATCTATCTTTTTTTATCAGTCTTTCATGTGGCATTGTATCAAACGCTTTGCTAAAGTCAAGCTACACAACATCACAAACGTTACCTCTCTCAACTGCCTCAATTATGTTGGAATAAAATTATATTGAATTTGTTATTCACACACATATTCCTCACACCAGAGTTGTTGGGCGGAATGTGACCGTGGAATCGATAGACTGGGCGAGGTGGCAGCGAATATGAAATCATAATGGACGGTGGAAGTTGTGGACCAGTCAGAGTCTGGCAGATCGCTATACTTTGCCCATGTAGATTGACCAAACAAGTCTATGAAAGTAAGAGCACAGGAAGGAACAGAGCGAGGTTAATTGTATTACAACGGCAAGCTTAACCAGGAATAAGAGGGACATAAAGTGCTGTATTACAAACACAGTAGGGATCGCACGGGAAATACGAACCAGCCCCAACAGGTGACACAGGAGACATACCTCCCAGGGGAAAAGCAGTGGTAAAGAGATAATCGGCAGGGAAGCCGAGGACAGAGCGATGTCAGGGCTCAGCACAGCCACAACTAGTGCAAGCAGGAAAACCCCTTGACGAAGAGAGGGAAATCGATCTTCTAAGTTCAGTCGACTTTATTAATCCAGGTGGTTATGGCTTTTACGATTAGCTATTTTTATTTCTTGTTATAGAAATAATAATAATGGAAGCAAATAATAATGATTTGGAATAATAATGATAATGAATAATGATAATGAATAATAATGATTTGGAAGCAAATCTACAAATGCAATTCAGCTTCAGATTGACAATGTAAACATTAGCAATAAAAATGATGGAAAGTTTCTTGGCATATTCCTAGACAAGAGACTCAACTTCAGTACCCACATACAACACATAACTAAGAAAGTCTCTAAAACAGTTGGTATACTTTCCAAAATCAGATATTATGTTCCTAACTCTGCTCTCATCTCTCTATATTATGCACTAATCTATCCCTATCTCAACTATGGTATCTGTGCATGGGGTTCAACCACTGCAAACCACCTCAAGTCCATCATCACCCAGCAAAAATCTGCTATCAGAATAATATCAAATTCTGCTTTCAGACAACACTCAGCCCCCTTGTTTAACTCCCTAAACATGCTAAACATAATCTCTCTCCACAAATTCTCTTGTGTCAACTACATTTACAAAACCCTGTTCCTAAATGCAAATCCTTGTCTGAAACTCTTCCTGGACAGATGTAATAGGACCCATTATCACCACACCAGAAATAAATATCTCTTCGATATCCCCAGAGTTAAACTTAATCTGTGTAAACACTCTATGCAAATAAAGGGACCCAGTTTATGGAACTCACTCCCTACTGAATTGAAAAGCTGTCCAACTTTTACATCATTCAAAATCAATACTAAAAAGTACCTAATTTCATCTTCATAATTTTTCACTTTTTGCCTTAAAATTGCACTGTATCTATTGCTACCCAATCTCCCAACCTTTATGTTCCCAATTTGAACATCTTTACCATTGTGAACATTGCTGTTTTCTTATATGTGCTGCCAATCTGTTGTATGGTGTTTATAAATCTTGTTTATCTGTATCTTTTGCTACCCAGTCTCTCAATCTTTATGTACCCAATCTGAACATCTTTACCATTGTGATCATTGCTGTCTTATATGTGCTGTCAATCTGCTGTATGGTGTCTATTAATCTTGTTTAAATTACTAATCAAGCTGTCAATGTAATCAATCAGTGCTTTAATATATCAATGTGCTTTAATATACTTACTTATCTCTCTCATCTCATTTTTCTCTTGTAATGTATCTTTCATTTATCAATTCTGATTGAAATTACCTACTTAAAATTATCTGCTAGATTAAGGACCTGCCCGAAACGCTGCGCGTAGTAGTGGCTTTACAAGAATGTAAATACTGTACTATCCAATGTATTCTCACAAACCCAATGTACCTTCTTGTATATATATAAATAAATAAATAAATAAATAAATAAATAAATAAATAATAATAAACACATAATTACAATAACGTTAAATATCAAATGAACAAATCCACAAATGTCTTGATGAGGGTTCGAAAAACCCTGGAACAAGATCTGGGAACTTCCAGCGCATAGATTCGAACCCTCGTCAAGGCCCTTGTGGATTCGTTCAAATAATAATAATAATAATAATAATAATAATAATAATAATAATAATAATAATTTGTATTTACAGAAGGTACAATGGGTTTATGAGAGTCCATAATATTGGTATTTTTACATTCTTGCAAAGACAATAACATGCATAGCGTTTCGGGCAAGTCCTAAATCTAACCTATCAGGTAAGAAGAAAAGGTACATTGTAGCAAAATTTTAGATCAACATATAACTGCAATATAAATTGACAAGGTGATTACATTGATGTCAATATATGTCTTTAGTACTAATATTGGGGAAGTGAGTAGTACAAGACACAGTGTGAGTTTGAAGCACAAGGCAGGAAACTATGAGGATGAAATTAGGTGCTTTTTTATTTTACTTTTGAATAATGCATGGGTTGGACAATTTTTTATTCATTAGGGAATGAGTTCCATAGATTGGAATATTTTATTTGCATTAAGTGTTTGCACAGGATTTAGTTTGCCTCTGTCATATGTTAAACATATGCCATAAATTCAGCATATGTTTCAAACATGTTATAGGGATGCTAATGTTTAGCTTTCAAGGGGTCCAGCAGCTACCCTAGGGCTAGCCTTGACGTTGATCTTTGCTCTTTATGCTTTACTCATCTTATTTAGCATACAAGATTCTGGTCGTGGTTCTCAGTAGGCATGTTTGTTTGTAAAATCCCTACTTTGTTTGTAATGCAAGTCTGCTAATTTCGGGGATGTCTCTATGGTACCAAAACCAACGCACCGCAGAGATACTAATGGCCATGCCAGAAAATGATGCCACAGCTAAAGCGTTAAGCAAATTCAAGATTGCCAATGTTTGCTGAGAGTCGGTGCTTCATCCAGGTTGTGGGCTTACAGTGGCCAGCAGGCAAAAGCATCAAAGTAGGCTAGCTGAAAGAGAAGGGATTTTGAACTTGATGAAGTGAGGTTCAGTGAATATTGGCGGAAGTCATAAATCAGTCCTCATCTGCTGTGTCAAAACGCCACCAAGGAAAAGGAAGAGGTAGAGTAAAAAAGTTTATGGACAAGATGAAGGAGAAAGTGGAGTGCCAGGCAAGGGTAGAGGACGGGGGTTGGACGTGTAGATCGGGCAAGAGGGTCACTTCAGGCAGCAGACCTGCAGAGGAACAGGAGATACGAAGGAATCGGGAGCACATTCGTGAACAGATCCAATCAGAGAAATGATTGTTGTCCTCGTGTTTAAGTTGAAGCATGGACTGTTTAGTTTTAAGAATTTGGGCAGGGTAGGGGTGTGTAAAACACCAGAGCAAGGGAGACATACCGTGTCGTCGTTACAAGCATCGAGGAACTGTAGTTTAATAAAGAGCTGGTCACACTGTGCACCGTAGTAGTCGCCAATGTCACAAAAGAATGGGAGACGATCGTCAGGGCAATCAAAGTTGCAGTGAAGATTCAGGTCTCAGCATAGCAGCGGCCATGGGACCAGCCGGAAGGGGTCTCCAGGGCTAAAGAGGCAGCCTGTCCTAAGGTTTCCCAATGTCAAGAAACAATCGTAATAAAGTCCCCTATCTTAACCTACCAGAGGACCAAAAAGAGAAAACGGGACAGGATGTCAATTTCGCGAGCAGGTACCATTTTCTAGTAGGACGATTTTTGGCCTTTGACAAAGTATGCGTCAAAATGCGACGCTCTATTAGGAGGACGGGTTGAAGGAGGAGCATATCTTCCAGAGTAGCACAACATGACGTGGGTCTGGTCGCCAACCACACGATTCTGAGGGAAAATATGAGATAATCAATGAAATTTCCAAAGCAAAAGTAAATTAGACGGTTGGACAGTGGGATAAAACCAACCAATACAGCGGACAGTATGGAGGGCTGAGCGTGAGTCGACACACACAGGGTTCCTAGTTCCTAATAGCAGTCCCCTAATTTAGCTGAGAACAGTCTTTGGGCGTCGTGACCCATCACGACGCCTAATTCAGTCATTCACACAGGGCGACCACTCTGGTGGGTGTCGTATCACTGCCGGTGCCTTTGTTGCACGGGAAGCAACAACCTCTCGCATCCGCCCAAGAACGGCACAAGTGCCTCCTCCCCAGGTTAAGATGCCACTCTTAAGGCCGTGAGAACAGAGTGCCAAGGGTGCCCTCCCAGGTAAGAATATGTGAACTGTCTTAGGACATCAGAAGCCTGCATGTTTAACTCAGCAATTTATATATGACTTGCTTGCAGTGTACACAACGATGGAGAGATGAAAACAGTCAACTTGAACAACATGGTAAGGGATTCCTTCTTCAGGGTCCCTCCACTAGAGGTCAATGGCTGGTATGAGGCTCTCCTCACCTTCAGGGACATTCTCTACGATCCCCAGAACTGCATAACCTACAAGATGAAGGCTGGTATGTATACAAGTTGTCATCCACACTTCCGTGGAAACAAACATTCCATACACCTGGGCTCTAGGAGACTCAGCCTCACACACGTGGGGTCCAGGGTTCGAGTCTCCTAGAGGCCCAGGTGAATGGAATGGTATGTATATTATGATATTAACTAAACTCTTCAGATTTCTGTTCTTAGGGGAGTGGGAAATGCAAGAACAATTAATATTACATGCTAACTAAATCATCATATGGCAGTGTAAGTGCTAGTTGGAGCTCGTAATAGTTTGTACAAGTGCTAGTGTGAGAAAGTGCTAGTTTGTATATGTGCTAGTGTGACCATGTGCTAGTTTGTACAAATCCTAGCATGAACAAGTGCTAGTGTAAGCAAGTCATATTGTAAACAGGTACTAGTGTGAGCAAGTGCTAATTTGTACAAGTTGTGAGATGGTGCCTATTGGGGATGGCACTAATACAGGTGACCTCAGTCAGAAAGAACTGCACTAACAACAAACAAGTGCTGCAAGAGCAGCTTCTTACTTTAAGGCTGCAACAGGTGGCACAGAGCCGCCGCCAGAGTCCAAATCCCTGGCACTCTTTGATCCACTGAGTCGTGGAGCTCCTGTACCGCTGATGGCAGTTGTAAAGGTAGCTCTAGGGACTCTCACACCAAATTTATATTGGCGTGTGTGGCTATGAAACTGGTTCATAGCCACTTCTGGACCAAGTGAAATTGGCCCAGAACTATCCAGAACAGCATATATCCAACTTTAAATGTAAGGCAGAGTCTAATGCCGGGGACAATTTTATCGGAAGGTGTTGACGAAAAGACACTTGTCGTTTAGTAACAATAATATTTATTCATAAAACTTAATAATAACAATACAAGGCAACAATAATTGAACGTTACGTTAAAGTCCGTAGTAGCACGATGTCAAACTAAGCATTCCAGCTAGTATAGTCGAACGTCCGGTTCTGGCCGTTCGCGGTTGAATCAAGTTGAACTAATCTAAGCAGCAGGTGCTCAATCGGACACAAGCTCACCAACTGCGGTAAAACAATTTAATTACAACAACAAAGACACAACAGACAGACCTGCCACAGAGGCAGTCTTCTGTCCAACAAGTTAATTACATTAAAGCTCGTCTCTCCGGACGACAGGCAATCAATTACGTTACAGTACTATGACAAACACAAGACAATTGATCCAATAAATTTCAATCAAAACAGCAAGTTTAACTCAATTACGTTAATTAGCAACTCTAATTACGTTAATTACTGTCTCCTGGACATCAATCAAATGCAGGGTAATTTACATTAATTCAAGATCTGTCAACACAGACATTCGGGCAATCAACCACTGCATAACAAAGTTAATTATTCAAAACACCGGGTAAGTAGCAATCAGTGAGTGACCGCACTAATTACTGTCAAGTGACCATACTAATTAGTGTCACTTGACAGTTAATTAACTCACGAAGAATTGCTTTAACACTAAGCTGATGACATAGAACGCTTGTCAAATAAGAATTAGGCAACATGTTGCTAATCACCTTACATATCACTAATGATGCTAATTAGTAACACTAATTACAATTCATTGACACTTCAATTATTAAATCACAATTAATACTACACCGGGCCATGCAGACCAACAACACAGCATTAACTCCAGTGCTAAATAACACAACACAACACTGTCACCATAATAAATGACAAATCAATAAATCACAGAGACCTGCAATCACAGGTAAATAACTGGCGGTAAATCCATTTACTTTGTAATCAGGTTTTCTCCTGGAACGAGAAAAGAAAAGAAAACATACATGGAATGATGTATATTAAAGTTCAGTGACGGTATCTATAAAAACCGCACCAACAATACACACAATTATTATAAAACAATCTATATGAATAAAAATGGAAATGTTCGTTTGTTCAAAATCGCTAATCTCCTAAAGTTCTTCACCGATTGCTTTGAAATTTTCACACAACGTTCTATTCGCATCCGAGCGGGGTGTTATATACATATTATATAGATACCACGTCTGTGACCGAAAAAAAACATGTTTTTTTCTGAAAAAAAAACTTATTTTCAAGTGAGGGAAATCTTCGAAACCTCTTTACCGATTGCCTTGAAATTTTGACACAACGTTGCATTAAAAAAAACGCATGTTTTTATATACCTACTATATACATGCCTCACCAGGGACAGGAAAAAACATGTTTTTTTTTAAACGCCGCCATCTGTTGGACGTAAGAGCAACACACGTTGTAATTTCCGAAAGTTCTTCATCAATTGCTTTGAAATTTTGACACAACGTTTCTTTCGAATTCGCGTGTGTTTTGATGAATCTCCTATATTAATACCACATCTGTGACATGCATAAACATGCTTTTCTTGAAAAAACAGCGCCATCTGTTGCACGTAATAGCAACACAGGTTGTACCAAATATGTTACGATTCCATTTCAATGTTTCCGATTGCATTGATAAATTTAATTTCCATAGATGTTACTACTGCTCGGCTTAGACTCGGTTACAAGTATCTCTGGGAATTCTCATTATCTGCTGATGTAGACCTGACCAAATGTAAACTGTGTCAACAAAATTATTCGCACACCCTCCGTCACTATGTGATGGAGTGCGAAAAGATACGTGAATTTAGAGACAATTCTATAACCAATGTTCCAGCGATGTGTCAATATTTCATTCAAAATGATCTGCTACCAGAAATTTTAGCCAAATATCCCCAGTTTGCTAACTGTAGGTAGTAACTAAGTGATTGTAACCTATCCACCGCTGCCCACTGGATGGGGGGCGGTGTGCAGGACAAACATATAAATTTTGACACTAGCTCTCCACATATGTCAGTTGCTTAATTTAGAACCTGTACTTGAGGTCGATCTCGAACCCATTGTTGATGTGATGACTTATATTGAATTTTGTAACTAGCTCATCAAGATTGTAACTTGCTTAGCTAAATGAATTGTGGGGTTCAGTCCCTGAGCCCATTATGTGCCTCTGTAACCCTTTCCACTACCGCCCACAGGATGGGTATGGGGTGCATAATAAATGAACTAAACTAACTAACATAGATTTCAATTTATTTTCATTTTGACTTAATTATTTTGTGTGACAATGTGTTGGTATTGAGCTGTGTTGTTTACCATATCGTTCATTTTGTAAGTATAGATGCCACACCTGTGACAGGTAAAACTATGCTTTTCTTGAAAAACAGCGCCACCTGTTGCATGTAAGAGCAACACACATGCTATACTAAATATGCTACAATTTCATTTCAATGTTTCTGACTGCATTGATAAATTGAATTTTCATATATTTTTATTTATTTTCATTTTGATTTAATTATTTTGTGTGAATTGCATTGGAATTGAGCTGTGTTGTGTATTATACTGTTCATTTTGTGAGTATAGTTTATTTTTTATTTTTTCATATTTTCATTTCATTTTTTAACTGTTTTTCTTATATTTCAGTGATGGGAACATCAGATCACTTGATGTTCCCAATTTTCTGATGGGAACATCAGACCATTTGAGAATGCATCGGACGAGGGAGTGGAGAATGGTGGGGATGACGAGGGGACGGAAGTGAGAGATGGTGGGGAGGACGAGGGGACAAGGGAGGGGGGGGAGGGGTAATTGTGGGGAAGGACGAGGGGACTGGGAAGTTTGGGATGGTAGAGACGAGGGGATAGGGGAATGGAAAATGGTGGGGAGGACAAAGGGACAGGGGAGTGGGGCATGGTGGGAAGGAAGAGGGGATGGTTGAATGGGGAATGTTGGGGAGGACGGGGGGACGGGGGGACGGTGGAGTGGGGAATGGTTTGGAGGCCGAGGAGACGGGTGAGGGGGGAATGGTGGTGAGGACTGAGGGACAGGGAAAGTTGCTGTGGCTCAGCAACACACATGCGTTGCTGAGCCATAGCAACGCGTGGGCGGGTACTGCTAGTAATAACTAAATGTGGTAAACGTGTAAAATACACTCAGGCCAAGCCTCGGTGATTACACAGATACACAGTACTTGCATTTACTCTTTACTTGCTTCCTCGGTCTGTGTTACTCTCCCGTTGCGGGCTACTGAAAAACAACAGGCCGTGAGGCTGACTTGAATTCAACACAAGAAATATTGCTGAATATTCCTTCAAGGAATATTCAGCAGGGAATATTGTCTGCAAGGAATATTCACTTCTTGATAATGATACGTTAATTAATTAAGGAGTACTCACTTTGATAAACCGGCTTACATTCATACAATCTCTCACACACAGTAGACCTCTGCCGTTGATAAAAGATCAAGCCTCACAGACCACAAGTGGTATATCCCTTGTACAGGACACTAGTGAGGTGAGATGGAGTAGCATAGCTCAGGACGCTGGGGTGGCGAGCGGGAGACGTGGCCGCTGGGTCATAAGACCAGAGACGCTTGCCTAAAGATGGTGTCCCCTTACGGGCTCACCATAGCCCGTGCTACATGGACACTTCGTTCTGAGTAGCTAAATCTAAAACAATAGTCCAAAGGTGGCGGACGAGGCAAGCGCACGTGGTCTCACAGCCAGGGTGTAGTTAGAGGAGGCGTGTACCCACCATTGGTGAAGTGATGGTATCCAAGATGAGAAACCCACTGGCTAGACACACGGGGTAGACCAGCACGGTGGATGGAAATTTAACCGAGTCACAATAGTTCGTAATGTTTCGTTAATTCTCTAGGAATTTTAGTCAAAACACCGGGAATTGTATCTTAGATTCATAAACATATATATGCGCGTCGTTGCGGGACCGGATTCTTGGGCGCGGAAACGCTAGGACGTGATATACTTGGCTTAATGTGTCACAGTTCCTGCATAGGCAACTTAAGGGATGGACGTTTGTGGAGTCCTCCCCTGCTTTTGCACTCATTGTCGGTGGTGTAATTGGACTTACTGCAGTTACGAAGCCTATTAGCCAATCTGGGACACACATACACACCATCTGTGTCTGAAACTTGGTTATCACCTGCACTGGTAAATTAGAAGTGATATTTGTAGTCTTGTTGCGGGCCTGCGAGGGGAGGCCTCCCCTCCTCACTTGCCTATTGGGCCTAAACAAGTGAATCAGGTACACTAAAATAGCTCTTGTGTCATACTACCACTGAGCCGTGATTGGCATGTTCTTCGATCGAAGACGCTAGTGACCATAAGACAATGCAGCCTCAGTTTAGTGTAGATCTTTGAGTCATGCCTTATCTCTCCCACTTCTACATTAGTTGATTTGTAGTAGTGCTTTGACGATTGAGAGTTAGAAACTTTAATTACAAAAATTGTGTGGATAAACAAAGGAGCCGTTTGTGCAGTGGGCACTGCTGTGGCACCAACTATAGCTGTTAGGTCTAGCACTTCGCCCGGTCAGGGAATGAGGATATGGTGCCAGGAACGCCTTCATGATCAACATACTTATTGCACATCTCTCCACCAGCTCTCAAGTACTAGGGTTTGTTGCCTGTGTATGTCAAGTTTTGTTGAGAGTGCTGTGCAGACTCCAGATATTTATGTATGTGCCACCAACTTCAAATTTCGTGCGCCGACCTGTGACCTTGAAAATAGTGGAGCCTCACATATGCAGGCTGGCCGATTTATTTCTGTTGATTTTGTTTGATGGATGGCGGCCCCTTCCACCCTGTGAATAGGCCATCTACTGAAGTGCTGCATTATGGTTCGTTGTGGAGCGTAATACTCTGCATATAGGTGTTGCGTCTTTAACGTCATGGGAACTGCCCCCGACGAGAATGACTACATCATATTGCCTGGGTCCGGTTACTGTGCTGACCATACATACCTATTATTTCAAAAGTTGTCATAGCTTTTAATACTACAACTTTCAGGTCTCTAGGCATTAAAGGTTTGCTGTGGCTCAGCAGCACATGTGCGTTGCTGAGCCACAGCAGCCTTCCCCTGTCCTCCTGTCCTCCCCTCTATTCACCACTCCACCATCCCCTCGTCCTTCCCCACCATTCACCACTCCACCATCCCCTCGTCCTCTCCACCATCTCCCACTCCCCCGTCTCCTCGTCCTCCCTACCATTCGCCCCCTCTTCCTCTCCACCATCCCCCATTCGCCTTTCCCCTTGTCCTCCCTAATGTTCTCATTCCCCTGTCCCCTCGTCCCCACCATCTCCAACTCCCCCGTCCCCTCGTCCTCCCAACAATTACCCCCTCCCTTGTCCCCTCGTCTTCCCCACCATCCCCCACTCAGTGCCCTAGTCCTCATCACCATTCTCCACTCCCTCGTCGGATGCATTCCCAAATGATATGATGTTCCCATCAGAAAATTGGGAACATCGAATGATCTGATGTTCCAATCACTTTAAAATAAGAAGAACTTAAAAAAAAAACAGTGAAAAACAACGAAAACATAAAAAATAAACTATACCCACAAAATGAACGGTATGGTAAAACCCACAGCTCAATTCCAAGACAATGTCACACAAAATAAGTAAATCAAAATGAAAATCAATCGAAATCTATGAAAATTCAATTTAGCAATGCTATCGGAAACATTGAAATGTAATTGTAACGTATGTTCTATAGCGAGTGTTGCTCTTACGTGCAACAGATGGCGCTGTTTTTCTAAGGAAAGCATGTTTTTACCTGTCACACGTGTGGCATCTATATAGTAGGTATATAAAAACGCGCGAATTCGACTGGAACGTTGTGTCAAAATTTTAAAGCAATCGGTGAAAAACTTTCGGAGATTACAGTGTGTGTTGCTCTTACGTCCAACAGAGGGCGCTGTTTTTCAAAAAAAGCATGTTTTCTCATGTTTCAGGTCGGGCATGTGTATAGTAGGTATATTAAAACATGCGCCTATTCGAGTGCAACGTTGTGTCAAAATTTCAAAGCAATCGGTAAAGAGGTTTCAAAGATTTTCCTACCATGAAAAACACATAAAAAACAGTTTTTCAAAAAAGCATGTTTTTTTCCCTGTCACAGACATGACATCTATATAGTATATATATAAAACCCCGCTCTGATGCGAATGGAACGTTATGTGAAAATTTCAAAGCAATCAATGACAAACTTTCGGAGATTAGCGATTTTGAACAATCGAACATTTCCATTTTTATTTATATAGATTATTGATATGGTGGATGGAATTTTATACAACACCCTGGTGTGACCTCTACCTGACACAAGTAGAACAAGTTGCATTCCTTCTCACTCAGTCAAATCTTCCCTGCCTCTCTCACAAACAGAAGAACACAATAATGATGCACACGATGAATTATCTTTTACCTGTTTACTCTCACTCACTGCCCATCAATTATCTCCTTACTATTTTACAATTTGACGCATGTATAAACTGAAGTATTTTTGCTTCTTAACAATAAGGAGTAAAATGTAAACCAACCCACCTACCTTCATGAAGACGGTCAACAAAAGTCTGAAGCAGCAACCAAATTTAGAAGCTTATTTCCATTAAAACACTTCAGTTAGAATGCTGGAATCCATAGTGTCTAAACTCATATGCATTAAGTGCGAAGACAGGTTATGGTGATTCGCAGTAAAGTTTAGTCTGTTGTAATATCCAACAGGTGATATGGTTATATTCGACAACCTGCGGGTCCTGCATGGACGTGAAGGCTTCCCGCCAGGCGAGGGAGAGCGGCTACTGGAAGGCTGCTACTGGGACTGGGACGGTGTCCGCTCGCGACGCCGAGTCCTCCAATCTAAACTATTAACCTAAGACGTTGATCTAAGTAATTCATCATGAGTGATATGAATAGTGAGCCATAAGGATGTCCTTTTTATTTAATCCTACACACAGAAAAAAATATTGTTTTACTTGTTTTCCTTCATGAAAGTGTAATTTATACTAACAAACATAGACAGATAAACAAAGACCATATATCTAGAACAAGAAAAAATAAACAGATTGTGTATGTGTATCATATATCTAGCCTTACTTGGCCTGTCCAGTGCTCAGTATCACTTTTGACATTCATTATTTGTTATATGAAATATTTTCCAAAGAATCTGTATGCAGAATAAAAAGAATATTATTATTAACATCTTTATTGACAAAATTTAATTACAATTTTGCCTAATCAATTCAATTCAATTCAATTGCCTAATTTCAATTAAGTCTTATTAAAGTGAGGATAATGCTGTATTCACTATCACACAGGACAGAGGGTCATACACAAGACAATAGGTCTAAACTGTAGGCTGAAACACATATATAATATCATGATTACAGTCAATGTTTTAATGTATGAATATGTGAAATCAACTTTCTATTGTGCACAAAGGTAGGGATGAGTTCATAAGAGATGATTTTATTAAAACTAGTAAAATAAAATTGTTCTTCATTCTTTAAAACGGACAAGCAAATTTTGGATAAATTATTAGGATGTCGTCCTGTACACACCATATTCAATGAAATAGTTACACAGTTGGTGGTACAATAGACCAGGAGGCCTAAAATCTTTTACGGTTTCACATTCAACAATATAATGTTCTAGTTAATGCATTAAAGGTTTGTCACAGAGTTTACAATCTGAATATTCTGGTAGTGGCTCAGTCTGGCAGGTTACTTCCAGATGTGCCTATAGCCAAGGCGAATTCGCATAATGACTACATCATATTGCCTGAGTCCGGTTACTGTGCTGACCATACAAATACCTATTACAAAAGTTGTCATAGCTTTTAATACTGCAACTTTCAGGTCTCTAGGCATTTCTTAGTTCTTCTAAATTTGAATTAATTTCTTTAATATGTATGTTTCTAATAATTCCATTAGATAGTCCAAAGTCATAATCAGTGTTTTCTTTCCTTGCAAGCCTCATTGGCCAATCGATCTACAAAGTCATATTTTCCAACTCCTACATGGGATGGGATCCACACAAATTTTATACAATAGTTATTATCATTGGCAAAAATTACATTCCATTTAATATTACAAGTTACTTCAGACATAAATTGTGATGGGTTATTTAAGAACTGCAGAACACTTTTAGAATCACAGAATATCACTCCACCTTCACTGAGCTTAAGGTACTCAGTGGCTAGATAAATACCTAACAGCTCAGTCTGTGTCGTGCTTGCCCACTGGTTCAATCTCTGTGTACTAGGCATGATTATTTTATTCCCGTTATAAACTACACATGCACAACTTGTTCTACCAGTTCCTAATTGCACAGAGCCATCAGTAAAGGTATAGGATTCAGTTGGTTTGATATTTTGAAGATGACTGTCAATAGCTTCTAATGTTATTTTCTAATCAGGGAGAAAAAAGACACAAACAGTATGGGGGCTTATTTATTAAGTAGTAGAAACAAGTAAGTAGTTTCTACAGAACATGTAAATGAGACGGCTATAAGTGTGTACTTAACAAATGCATAACATAGACGTGGATAACTCTAAGTACACTAAATTTAATATGAACACCTGGTAACATTAATACAGTATGCTTATAGCCAAGTAACAAGATAAATCAAAATCTGCAGAACACCGAATAGCTTATTGTCTAGGAGTAGAAGATATATTCAATTATTGTATAACATAATTGAAATTAGACAATCAGGACATTTAGAGTAAATGTAATGGGAATAAACAACGTAACATTTAATAACGAAGCCTGGCCAATCTGGCCTGGCCTGACCAGAGAAGACATAATGCTGGTTGAGTTGGTACGTTAACCCTAGCTGAGTTAATACGTAAATTAACCAGTACGTGCGGGAATTACATAGAGACTGGGAAATGCCTGATATATGTTTAATTGGAGGAGAAATTAACCCAGGCCATGAGGCCGTGCCGCCAAGGATTAAGGATATAAGAATTTCCGGTATAAAGGTAGAGCTTACTAGTACCTAGAATGCATGTAAAGTGTGCGGCAAATTTCAATTTGACTTCCTACAAGGGAGCTCTTGACAAAGTAAGCAGCTGCGGACAGCGGAACACTTGGGGACCGGCGCTGCACCCCCCCCCCCCTTCCCCCGAAGCCGGGAAGTAAAACAGGTGGAACAAGTGACGAAGGGCAAGAGAAAGCGGACTGCTGCCTGGTAAGGGAGGTGGGCGGGCGTTTCGTGTGAAGCGGTCGGTGGCGGAAACGAGAGTGAGGGCAGGACCCGATTGATGATTGATGAAGATTAAGCCACCCAAAAGGTGGCACGGGCATGAATAGCCCGTAAGTGGTGGCCCTTTTGAGCCATCACCAGTATCAATAGATGATACTGGAGATCTGTGGAGGTGCGACTGCATCCTGCGTGATGGGAGATGTCTCCCGTGGCAGGACCCCTCTTCCATTGCCCTTTATATGCCCCCCTGTACTGCCCGCACAGCGCCTGCGGAAAACGCTGTGCAAGTGTCTTTTATTCTCCCATCAGAAATTCCTCCGTTTTCCTGTGTAAAGCAGTGGCCATATATCTCATAGTTTCAGTGTTATACATTTGTTTGACACTGATGGGGGGTATCATGTCAAGAGACCTGCACATCTTTCCAAGGGGGAATATAGTGAACAGTTTTATCAGGATTAAGAGACACATTCAGGTTTCATAAGATTAATGGCACATCCATTGAACCACACACTGTACGGAGTTTTTTTGCGGCGGATTGAGGGAACAGTCAGAATTGTTTAGAATGGATCTTAATTTAAATTTAATACAGATGGGGGGACATTATTTTTCAAAGTTTTGGCACAAAACATAGTATTAAGTAGAACTATGCTCTCGTAAATAAAAGGTAATTTTAGTTTCTTTCTCATGTTAACATTGCTGACAGTTCTAGGACACCCCAGGATGATGCGCATGCTTCTTTTGCTCTTACGCCAAATAAAAAGAAGTACTGGTAAACAGGTCAGACACAACCAGTACTATGATGATGCTAAACTGAAAGAGCTTAAATCAATTGCTAGACAGACAGGTAAAGCATATAAGAACCTTAGAACTCCTCAAATGTTAAAACTGTTTCAGGCCGCGCTTGCAGCGGCAAGGGAGAGAATGACTGAACTGAGACAAAATAAATGGGAGGGTTTTGTTAGTGGACTTAACCTGCATACTCCCCTGGGCAAAGCCTGGAAAGGCATAAACAAAATTATTGGTAAAAATAGTAAACAAGTTTCACACCCAAACCCGCTACAGAAAGCCAATCAGTTAATTGCAAAATGGGCTCAGGTTTCCAGCCTTGGAATGTTACCAGCTAGCACTAGGGAGAAATTGCGGGAGAGGTCCACAGACAGAAATGCTCTCATAAATTTCATGTTGAGCAAGCAACATGATGAATGTGATGTTCCATATACAGATTATGAATTGGATGCAGCCCTCTCCAGGGGCAGGAGCACTGCTCCTGGTGAGGACGGTATCACCTATGATATTCTAAGAATCCTACATCGTGTACCCGGTAACCCATTATTAGAATTGTTTAATGCCAGCTATGTCACTGGGCAGTTGCCTGTATCATGGACCACCAGTCTTACGGTACCTGTACCAAAGCCTGGACAACCTGATGCTTTCCGTCCCATCTCACTGACCAGTTGCATGTGCAAAACCTTTGAGAGAATGGTGCTTAATAGATTATTGTATAGAGTTAAAGAGCACATGTCACCTGATATCAATGGTTTCACACATGGTAAAAGTGTACACAACTGTATCACAACCTTTCTTACTGTTCATGGAGATAAAAGGCACAAGTACACAACATTTCTTGATTTAAAAAATGCCTTTGATATTGCTAATAGGGAAGTGATTATGTATGAATTAGCGAGAATGGATATAGGGGGACATTTATTACAATGGATACGAGGCTATCTTACCAACCGGAAGTCCTCTGCACTGTTCCAAGGCTACAAGAGTAAAACTAAAGTAATGCAACTAGGCACCCCACAAGGAGGAGTACTTAGTCCTACCTTGTTTAATGTTCTAATTAATGCTTTACTAAAATCAATCCCAACTAGTCCGGCAAACATCACTATCAGCTATGCAGATGACATCCTTGTGCATACTAAAACCCACCGCGAAATGCAAACAGTCTTAAATTGTATACATACAGCTTGTGAGAGCCTTGGTCTTGTAATCAACGCTGCTAAAACTAAGGTATTTAACAGACAAATTGGCAACCGCAAAAGTGGACCACGAAAACTTAAGATAGACAACATACCAATAGACTATGTCTCTTCTTTCAAATACCTTGGAGTCTCTGTCCCTTGTACCTCAACTGCAGTCAATAAGTTACATCAACAATGTAGAGACAGACTCAAGGCTCTCTGAACTGTAGTGGGGTACAGCCCAAAATATGGTGTTAATATTAGAATAGCAAGAATGATGTATTTAGCGTATATAAGGTCTCTGATAGACTATCATGCACCAGCTTTGGTCCTGCAGAATGGCAAAAGTATTGATAGACTGGAAAAAATGCAAAATGAAGCACTCAGAATTATACTTGGCTGTCCTATAACTACCAAAGTTCTCAACATGCGGAAAGAATTAAATATACTTAGCATTCGAGATAGAATATTTGAAATTAATCTTATGATGGGACTAAAGCTGCTGCGTGTTAACAAAAACAACATTGTGTCAGTTGCACTGTTAGAACACATACGAAATGGAACTAGCGAGTCTAAATGGATTCAAAGAACTGCCACTCATATTAAAATGATGGGACTGCACTATGTATATACAGATGAAAGAGTACAGCACTTCCTTCCACCCTGGCAGATACTACCTTTTGACATCCTGACCCCTGCATACCCCACCAAGAAACTAATCACAAGCAACCCTCATGCTCAGCTTGCTGCTAAATTAAGCACCATAGAGCACATTCACAATATACAAGCTGAAAACAACATTGCACAGACCATATACACTGACGGATCACTCAATACAGCTACAGGGAGGGCAGGAAGTGCTGTTATTGCTCATCAGCCCGATGGCAGCACAATTCAAAGAAATATCCGAATTAGTAA